TGTTAATCCTTTCCTGGGAATGTTTTTTCCATTGCTTTTCAGAGAGTGGAAGGGAGGGAGGGGGAGAGAGAGAAAAACATCAACATGAGAGAGACACATTAATTGGTTGCCTCCTGCAGGTGCCCCCACAGGAGGGCATGGAGCAAACCAGCTACCCAGGTATATGCTCTTGACCCGGAATCGAACTTGTGACCCTTCCATATGTAGCCTATGCTATAACCACATAGTCACACTGGCCAGGGCTGCATCCCACATCTTATTCTCTATTTACCACTTATTTCTTCCTTGAATTATATGAGTTCATTATAGCATGTTTTCTGTGTCTACCTCTCCAACTGTAAAAGTTCTGAAAGCAGAAAATGAGTCTGATTCCGCTTAGCCTCGATATTCAATAACTGGATGAAGTGTATAAAGGCACAACATATCTTAGGGAGGTAATACTATTCTAAATAAATTTCAGGGAAGATGGAGAAACTTTAAAAGCCTTAACCTGGCGCTACATTGAGATTTATCCCAGAAAGATTAACTCGCTGGCACCATCTAGCTTTCAATAAAGGTGGTGCATCTTTTACCAAAAAAAACGGCAGAAATGGTTCTCAAAAGCTAATCGGGAGAGGAAACTACTCATTCATACTCAGTTGTCTCTTAAAAAAACAAAAAACTTTTTAATTTATTTCGGAGAGGAAGGGAGAGGGAGAGAATCGTTGGTTGGCAGCCTCCTGCATGCCCCTTCCCAGGGATCTAGCCGCAACCCAGGCCTGTGCCCCTGACTTGGAATCGAACTGTGACCTCCAGGTTCACAGGTTCTCGCTCAACCACTGGGCCCCGCCCACCGGGCTCCGCCGCCTCTTATCACCCTGACCTCCGCACAGTGCTGACAGGTCTCATATTGCCTAACCCTCCAGCTCTTGGAGTCCCAGTGTCATAAGCTTGAGGAAAGAGAAACTGTTCATCGGAACTACAAGAAGCTCATGCAAACAAACCACCGTGGGGTGGAGCTGGCTGGGGAAAGAAAAACCATTAACAAGTAGTTTTTATTCACTAAACATAACCTTGGCCTAAAGCAGCCCAGAGAGCTCCCACTGGAGCCGCCGGCAACTGAAACACACGTCCCTCTCCTTCTAGGAAGACATCAAGGGGGCCTTGTGGGGGGACGGGGAGGAGGGCAGCCTTTCTGAGAAGTTTCCTAGCGAGGGCGTTACCGAGGGAAACCCCGCTCGCGGACTCGCCGGGAGGGAAGCTGCCCAGTCCAGGAGGCCCAGAAAAGGAAGGGCGGAGAGCGCGCCTTTTCCCGTTTCCGGCTGGAAGTGGGCTGCGTTTGGACCTCAGCCTTCCGGACGCGGTCAGGGGGCAGCCCCGGCCACGGCCCCAATCCTGTCTCCACGGGGGGACGTGGAGCTCCTTCCCGCACGGGGTCCGGCGGCGGCCGGGCTCGGCTGGGCCCCGGTTCCCGCCGGAGGTCGCCGGGAACCTAACGCCCCGAGACTCCTCGGCCCTCCCCGACCAGAACCCGGACAACCTCTCCAGGATTTCGGGGTTGCCTCCCCGTCTCAGTGCCCTGGTCCTAGGAGTGAAGAGCCAGGGGCCCCGCCTACCTGGTAGTCCTGGGCTGGCGGACGCGCGCTGGGGGAGCACTTCCGCCTGACGCACGCACTTCCGGCCGCCGGGAGCCAATGAGCGCGCGGCCGCGGGTGTCCCCCTCGCTGGCGTCCGGGCTGCGGGCCTCCCCCCCAAGGACTCGGGCCGCTTTGCTCTGAGGACATGGTAAGTCCCCACCCCGAGCCCGTGAGAAACTCGTGCCGAGGGGAGTCAGCCCAGCACCCCGTTTTGTGGCGAGCAGAGGGGAGTCCAGGTGGTGGCCTCTTTGACGGTCAGATACAACGGTTGCTGAGGCGAGGTCACATTCAAGTTTGGGGCGAGGAGTCTTGCCTCTTCATTCTTTCTTCTCTCTGTGGAACCCAAAACCTCTGTCAATTTGCCTCTGACCTTCGAAAGTGGTGAGTTCACCCTGAAAAAATAAAATAAAAGTTCCTCTAGAAGCGGCTTTTAGAGCTTGGCGGAGGTGGTGGGAGGCAGAGTAGGAAGTCTGTTCTGAACGATTTCTCTTTCCTCCAAAATCTTTTCCAAATCAAGAAAATGCTAGGTCGCCCTAACCGGTTTGGCTCAGTGGATAGAGCGTCGAACTGAAGACTTAAGGGTCCCAGGTTCGATTCCGGTCAAGGGCATGTACCTTGGTTGCTGGCACATCCCCAGTAGGAGGTGTGCAGGAGGCAGCTGATCAATGATTCTCTCATTGATGTTTCTAACTCTTTCCCTCTCTTCCTCTCTGTAAAAAAAATCAATAAAATATATTTTTTTAAAAAGAAAAAAAGAAAAGGAAATGCTAGGTCCACCTTCCTGGATGCGATTTGACACTCACCCCGCATAGAAATAGAGAGCCAGAAGCACCAAGCCCCTGGAGAAGGAGACTAGTGAGCTGTTGGTCAGCACTTTGAAAATTACTGAGAAATTAGGTGGAAACCATTTTCTGTTGTTGCCCAGCCCATCTCTTTGAAGCGTTTCTGGCAAATACGTCAGAAATGTTACCTTTAAAGCTACTTCTTTTTCAGGCGCGCAGAGTAAACTTCCAGCTGATATTACCAGAGAACTCTACCAGAACGAATTATTCCTGTCAGTTCTGCCTGATGGTAGAATTCCTTACTTCTTACCATGAGTTGTATTTTAGAGTTAAAATTTGGGTGTGAAACCACTGTTTGGACCTCAATCTTCAGGACGTAATAACTATGTGTACTAGACCATGGGTGTGTGTGTGTGTGTGTGTGTGTGTGTGATGTAATCACTTGATAAGTTACTTAGATCTCTAACCACTATGTCAATTGTAATGGGGAAAATGTGGATTAAAATAAAGACTGACAAACTGGTTGGAATGGTTCAGAAGCTTACCTTGCAAAACACTTCAAATTCACAGAATGTCCTTTGTAAAAATACTTATGTTAATGTAATTATCTGGAATTTCTGGTATGTGGCTATGTAGGGAAGTGTCAACATTTTAAGTAATAGGGAACTTTCAATACAAATAAGGTCAGTGCGAAACCAAAAGCTGGAAAATACATTTTATTTCACAATTTGAAGAACTTGCTGAATAAGCATTTGCTCTTGTGTACTTCCCCTAATTTTCATGTTGGTGATACAATATTCTATTCAGGCATTTGTGTTGGTTTGGGTGTGTGCAGTCTTGAAGCTGAAAGTGCTCACCATACAGGCATCACTAGTATATTTGCCTGCTCTTCTTTCTTTTATTTTTTTAAATGTATTGTATTGATTTTTTTATAGAGAGGAAGGGAAAGGAACAGAAAGGCAGAAACATCAATCAGCTGCCTCCTGCACACTCCCTACTGGGGATGTGCCTGCAACCAAGGTACATCCCCTTGACCGGAATTGAACCTGGGACCCTTTAGTCCGCAGGCCAATGCTCTATCTACTGAGCCAAACCGGCTAGGGCCTGCTCTTCTTTCTTAGTGATTTAATCTGATCTAGTGGTTCTGAACCTTTGGGTCTTGCTTATAGTTAATGGAGAATGGAAAAGTATTCCTTGTGCATAAGTAAGAGAAGTTGGTTTGGGTTCCAGTGTTCAAACAAAAATAGAACCCAAGTCCTGGGAATCAGGGAGAAGAAATTGTAGAAATATGTATCAGGTAGGTAGTCATGGGAGAGAGCGTTGGAGAAAACAACCTCAGAACTGAGAGCCAGAACGGGAAACCAGATACAGACACATTTCAGAGATATTGCAATTCAGTCCCAGACCACCGTAATGAAGTGAGCACCGCAATAAAGCGAGTCATCTTTTTCCTTATGGAGGAGTTTGCCTTCAATTGGTAAAATAAAGTAAAAGCAATACCTGTGAAATGAAATGAAATGAAATGAAATGAAATGAAATGAAATGAAATGAAGCACAATACAATTAGGTACGTGGGTAAATACTGCTTGACAGCTCCAGTTCAGAACACTTCAACTTGGACTTGAGATGGAAGCCTATAGTGTGCAAGTTGCTCCAAATAGGTAGGGAAAACGCAGGGCAGATGAAACTTGAGTGACTAACAAGAAGTACCATGAGCCACCCTTGACTGTAATCGAACCTAGGACCCTTCAGTCCATGGGCCGATGCTCTACATACTGAGCAAAACTGGCCGTGGCTATTTCCTGGTTAATGTATGAATTATTCAGGTTTCTAATCACCAAGTTTTCGAAATATGACTGGGATACGGAAGGTGCTAGAAAATGCCAGTGTTGTGGATAGTGAATGTGTTTCAGTGACTTCCACTCCAGCAAGTCCCACCTGAACAGAGAAGCAGATGAAAGCAGCTATTTCTACTGTGAAGGTCTGTGCCTGTCATCCATGTGCTTGGGAGATATTTACATTGAATTTGTCCCTCCCGCCAATGGACACAGGTCTTTTCCTCAGGAAATAGAGGTGTCTCCCCTTCCTAAAGACATTCAGAACACCTGTGAGTATCTGGGTCCTACTTAAAATGCCTTAGCGTCTGCGACTACACAGAAAAAGTAAGAAGACGAAACATCATGTGGGTCACTTGGCTGTTTTCTAGATAGTAATTGACTGTCATGATGCATAAGATTGTCGTAACCCATATGGAGGAGATTGTGATTATTTTTCATTTTGTTTACTCCAATTTCCCGCTGCATTTTTTAAAAAGCAGTGAATTTCCCTAACCGGTTTGGCTCAGTGGATAGAGCATCAGCCCACAGACTGAAGGGTCCCAGGTTCGATTCCGGTCAAGGGCATGTACCTTGGTTGTGGGCACGTCCCCAGAAGGAGGTGTGCAGCAGGCAGCTGATCGATGTTTCTCTCTCATCGATGTTTCTCACTATCTCCTTTCCTCTTTGTGAAAAATCAATAAAATCTTTTTAAAAAGAAGCAATGAATTGACCTTGTTCAAACATGCAATCTGAATCACAGTTCCTTCGTAACTAAACCTTTGTTCATCACTAAGATTTATAATTTCCTTCTTCCTTTTCGGTACTTGTTTCTGTAGCAACCATGCAACTGTTGCTGTCACTTCCCTAAAACAAAAAGGCGGTTTAGAAAGTCAGAGTAATGGTCTTGAACGTATTTAATAGGAGGTCCTTATTTGGGGTGAGTTTGGTTGTGCTGTCAGCCCTGTGATTTGGGTTGATCTCTTCCTTTTTATCCATTGTCCATGCTCATTAATGCTTAAAGGCCACATTCTTTCAAGAAGTGGCTTTGATGTGCTTCCTGTCATAGCTCTGATGTTCAGCTGGTCATTTCATCTCGGGAGGAGCAGGGTAGGAGATGGTGATGTGTTTGCTGGCAGTGGCAGGTGCAGTGCTGCGGGGACAGGCTCACCCTGCTGGTGACATGTATCTGAGGCAGGAGACCTGCCATGCTTCAGACTGAGCAGCCCAGGCCTGAGGAAAGCACCCAGGATGAAGAATAAGATCTAGGCAGGCTGAGCCCACTGGGCCCTATAGGACACTTAGCCCACATAGCCACTCTGTCAACTCAGGGAAGCAGCCAAAATGCAGAGACAAAGAAACAGGTCACAAACGAAAGAAATGGAGGAAAGCAAACTACTGGATATAGAGTTCAAAACCACAGTTATAAGGTTACTCAAGAATCTTCTAGAAACCTCCAAGAAATTTAATGAGACCCTCAAGAATATGAAAAAGGGCCAACTAGAAATTAAGCATAAAGAATAAAGAATAACATACAGAGATCCAACAGCAAACTAGAGGATCCCAAGAATCAAGTCAAAGATTTGAAATACGAAGAAGCAAAAAACACCCAACTGGAAAAACAAAAAGCAAAAAGAACCCAAAAATATGAAGATAGTGTAAGGAGCCTCTGGAACAACTTCAAGTGTACCAACATCCAGATTATGGGGGTGCCAGAAGAAGAGAGAGAGCAAGATATTGAAAACCTATTTGAAGAAATAATGACAGAAAACTTCCCCTGCCTGGTTAAAGAAATAGACTTACAAGTCCATGAACAATGAGTGACAACAAATATCAAGTGAATCTAAAAATCAAGTGAATAAAAATTCTGAAGAACAGAATAAACTGTGAATATAATAGAATCAGGGGCATAGAAAGGGAGTGGACTGACAATTCTTGGGGGAAAGGGGGTGTGGGGGATGCGGTAAGAGACTGGACAAAAATCATACACACATGGATGAGAACAGGGGGCAGGGTAAGGGCAGAGAGTGGGATCAACTGGGTGGAGGGGAGCTATTGGGGGGGGGGGAAGAGGAACTGTAATAATCTGAATAATAAAGATTTATTTTTTAAAAAGTATGGGATCTAATGAAATGGCATGGCAGTAACGGGAGAAGGGTGGCTTTTTCTATCCTTTCTAACCCTCTCTGCTTTTTCTCTTGCTTTTCAGATGCCTTAGCTTCTTGGACTTCCCTTTGCCATGTGACAGTCCTAGCTGAGCTGTTACTTCCCCTGAGGGACCCATAAGCCTTTGACAAAGGTGGGTTTTAGGGACGTTTGTTGCTCACCTGTAGAAACCAAGCTGCTCACTGCTAGCAGCACAGACAAGTAGTAAAGTTCAAGAGTCGTTTTTTCTGTATTGGGAGGAGAAAAGCACTGTGAGGAATACTTGTGTGTGAATTGGAACGTATATTTAATGTGATTTTGCCACAAGGATATAAAGAGGCACTCACTTAGCAAGAGATGGAAGGCTTGCTGCTTAAGGTGCCAAACCTAGTCCCATGGTTCCACTGTTGGTTCATATCTTAACATAAAAAAAAAATCTTGCCGAAACCGGTTTGGCTCAGTGGATAGAGCGTCGGCCTGCGGACTGGAAGGTCTCGGGTTCGATTCCGGTCAAGGGCATGTACCTTGGTTGTGGGCACATCCCCAGCAGGGGGTGTGCAAGAGGCAGCTGATCGATGATTCTCTCATTGATGTTTCTAACTCTCTATCCCTCTCTCTTCCTCTTTGTGAAAAATCAATAAAATATATATATATTTTAAAATTCTAGCCAAATAGAACTCACAAAACACACACATACAAAAAACTTGCGGAATTTTTTTTAACTTTCCCTGGTGAAATGTTTAACGATGACATGTGTCTAATTAGGAATTCTATCTCCACATACGTCTATTTTTAGTGTCAGTAGAAAATAAACATCAAAGACTAACGGTGTATACAGCCAAGATTTCAGATTAAGATGAGCCTTTAGAAATTCATTATTTAGCCGAAACCGGTTTGGCTCAGTGGTAGAGCGTCGGTCTGCGGACTGAAAGGTCCCAGGTTCGATTCCTGTCAAGGGCATGCACGTTGGTTGCGGGCACATCCCCGTTGGGGGGTGTGCAAGAGGCAGCTGGTCAATGTTTCTCTCTCATCGACGTTTCTAGCTCTCTATCTCTCTCCCTTCCTCTCCGTAAAAAATCAATAAAATATATATATTTAAAATGTGCACAGTTAGTTGCCAAAACTGTTAACACCATGGTGCAGACGCCTTCCCCGAAGATCCCACAGCAAACACAGAAAGCATCCTCTTTGGTGCCGGTGGGACCGGTTCCAGGTGCCTGAGCAGCACAGTGCGACCTCACAGGACAGCACCACTTTCCTAGGCTCCCGCATCTCAGGAATCTACCCGAGTGCAGCCCTAATCAGATGTGTTTCCTCGCTTCCCTCCTCTGGAGCAGAAGTGCTCGGAGTTCAGCCAGCTCGGGTTTTCCTTGAAGACAGGTCCTTCTCTTACTGGCGATGCTGGTGATAATATAACGGGGACTATTTTGGGAATAACTTCCTTATTATCTTAGTCAAACCTTCCAGCAAAACTGTGCCTCTGGCACTCAATAACTACTTTTTCATTTTTAAAAAATCTCTTCCTGGCCAGTGTGTCTCCACTGGTTGGAGCATGGCCCATGCAGCGGAAGGTCGAGAGCTCGGTTGCAGGCTGGACCCCAGTGTGGGGCAGGGATACCGAGGCTGCCCGTTCAGTCCCTGGTCAGAGCATGTACAATGTGTCTCCCTCACGTCAGTGTTTCTCTCTCTTCTTGCTTTCCTCTCTAAAATCAATTTTTAAAAATCTCTTCTGTGTCTCTTTTTTTTTTTTTTTTTTTTAGATATATTTTATTGGTTTTTTACAGAGAGGAAGGGAGAGAGAGAGCTAGAAACGTCGATGAGAGAGAAACATCGACCAGCTGCCTCCTGCACACCTCCTACTGGGGATGTGCCTGCAACCAACATACATGCCCTTGACCGGAATCGAACCCGGGACCTTTCAGTCCGCAGACCGACGCTCTATCGCTGAGCCAAACCGGTTTCAGCTTCTGTGTCACTTTTTGATTTCAAGTTGTCAAGGCCCATTTTTCTACCCATATCATGTCCTACTCAGTAACTTTATTGAGTGAGTGAATTAATCTGCTATCTTATGTAATAAAGGGGTGATATGCAAATTGACCATCACTCTTAACATACAAGATGGCCACTTCCATGTGGACACAAGATGGATGCCACAAGATGGCCAGCAGGGAAAGGCAGTTGGGAGGGACCAGGCCTAAAAGGGAAGGCAGTTTGGGGGGGGACCCAGGCCTGTAGGGGAGAACAGTTGGGAGGACCAGGCCTGCAGGGGAGGGCAGTTGGGAGGAACCAGGCCTGCAGGGGTGGGCAGTTAGGGGTGACTAGACTGGCAAAGGAGGGCAATTAGGCATCAATCAGGCTGGCAGAGGAGTGTTAGGGGGTGATCAGGCTGGCAGGCAGAAGCGGTCAGGGGCAATCAGGCAGGCAGGTGAGCAGTTGGGAGCCAGCAGTCCTGGATTGTAAGAGGAATATCCAACTACCCATTTAGGCTCCATCCTACCTAAACTGGCAGTCAGACATCCCTCGAGGGGTCCCATATTGGAGAGAGTGCAGGCTAGGCAGAGGGACACACACCGCCCCGCCCCCATGCTTAAATTTCGTGCACTGGGTCTCTAGTTTTTATATAACTAGAGAATTTTATAACATCATAAGAAGTCGCAGAATGACTAAAGAAGTTTTTAAAATCTTCATCTGAATTTTTTCTTACATTTCCATCCTTGAGGAAGTCCTGTCTTACCATTTAGCAGACACTTCGAGCTGGTCAGAGTGGCTGCACACTCACCAGTTGCGAAGAAAGAAAAGATGATATTACCGACCAGGTTGTTGAGGAGAGGTTGACTGCAGTACCGCAAAGAGCTGGGCCTAAAAATCAGTCCACTGGGTTGCACATTACTTATTACTTGTCAGAATAATAAGAATCGGCTATAAGCATAACACGGAAGGTGCTGCGACCCTGGCATTCTAACCCAAAGCTGGCACTAGGTTCATTTGGCTCCGGGCAGCTCACTTCTCTTAAGGACCTTAATTCCTTTAGTGTGGCTCAAGCTAATGCTGTAAGACAGCCCACCAGTAACCATGAGTTATTAATATTCATAGTTGGTGGAGAAATAAAGTTTGCCATTTCTCTAATTTAGGGGTGTCGAACTCAATCAGAGAAGGGGCCAAAATCTAAAATCCAGCCTAAATCGCGGGCCAAATGGTTTACTGAACAGTCATAAACTGTCATTGTGATGGAAACGCAGCAGAGTGCAGTGATGACAGCGCGGTGCGGGCCACATTGCAAGGCCTGGCGGGACGGATTTGGCCTGCGGGCCTTGTGTTTGACACATGTGCTCTAATTCATGTTAATTTGCTGTTTTGGTGAAATATTTTTATGGAGCCCAACCGATGCAGTTCAGAGGTTGGGCATTGACTTATGAACCAGGAGATCACGGTTGGATGCCCTGGTTTTGGGCTGGATCCCCAGTGTGGGGCATGCAGGAGGCGGCCGATCAATGATGTATCTCCCATCATTGATGTTTCTGTCTCTCCCTGTGCCATTCATTCTGAAATCAATAAAAAAAAAATTTTTAAAGAAAGGACAAACAAGAAAAACATTCTGTGGAAATTGCAGCTTTCCAGAGTAAGGGAATATGCTTTACTGCACACAAACATCCTGTAATAGAAGTTGGCCAGATACAGTGTCACAGTTCCCGCCCCTTCTCCGTCATTTAAGTGGATTCTCAGTTTTCAGGTACTTGTCCAATATCAATGTTCTTAGAGGTGCGATTCTCTTATTTTGAGTGTGCCAACTTGCATTTGCTTCATTTGTCCAATAAGAAAGTGAACTGATTTTTTTTTCTGCCAAGACTAATTTCCAACTCGAATCTAAACGAACACATCGAGGCATAACCTGGTCGGGTGTGCCTGTCGCCCTCAGCCCTACAGACGTCAGGTGACGCTAGGCTATGGGACTGCTCCCTGGGGAATACATGGAGACGTTGGTGCCTCATTGTCTCTCCTTATGAAATGAGACTCAGTCTGCCCAAATCCCGTGATGCTCACGGCATTGAGATTGTTGACTTTTCCAAGAGGTGAAGCGGGTGGCTCCCATCAGTGATAGGGGCAGACACAATGGGGCAGACTGCAATTAAACACGTGACAGGAATCGCAGAGAGCACCCGAACCGCCCCCACAGCTGAGACCCAGACCCTCAGCTGCCAGGTGAGGGCTTGGCTGGGGAAAGAACTTACCTTAGCATAGGGGTGTCGAACTCAATCAGAGAAGGGGCCAAAATCTAAAATCCAGCCTAAATCGCGGGCCGAATGGTTTACTGAACAGTCATAAACTGTCATTGTGATGGAAACGCAGCGAGTGCAGTGATGACAGCGCGGTGCGGGCCACATTGCAAGGCCTGGCGGGACGGATTTGGCCCACAGGCCTTGTGTTTGACACATGTGCCTTAGCAGAACGTAAAACGGGGAGCCAGAGTGGCGATCACACACAAGGACACGGTCCCTCGGCTGCAGGGGACACAGTGAGTTCCATTTCACATAACCGTGTAGTGATGAACTGGCTTTCAGAAACCAGGGCCAGTCTCTGTTTCAGATAATGTAACATTAAACCACAGAGAGAGAGTTTTACACAGGCAAGGATGAATTGAGATCCATCCCATTAGAGCAAAGTTATGTCTAAGAATATTGCAATAAGAATATTAGAAGTGCCTTGCCCGGTGTTGCTCAGTGATTAGAGCATCGGCATACAGACAGAAGGTTCCATTCTTGGTTAAGGTCATGTTCCTGGGTTGCAGATTTGACCCTACATGCAGGAGGCAACCAATCAATGTGTCTCTCACATCAATGTGTGTGTCTCTCTCCCCTTCTCTCCCTTCCACTCTCTCTAAAAATCAATGGGAAAAATGTTTGTGGGGGAGGATTAACAAAGGAAGGAAGGAAAGAAGCAAGGGAGGAAGGAAGGATATTAAAAGTAGCTACCGTTATTCAGCTCCTACTGTGTCACAGGCACTGTTGATACTGATTTCTAAGGAGTCTTTAGAACTTTGGTTCCTTTTTCATGACTAAATTAAGGCAGTAAGGCAACCCACAAGTAATAGCATGAATTATTAATACTGAGCAGACAAATGTGTCATTTTACATGCATTTTCTCACTTAATAAGCACAATTACAATGAGATAAGGACTGTGGCTCCCCATTTGATAGATGAGGAAACCGAGACTCTGATTAAGTGTCTTAGGACAAACACCTTGTAGTTAGAGGTAGAGCTAGGCCCTGGCGGTTTGGCTCATTGGATAGTGTTGGCCTGCAGACTGAGGGGCCCAGGTTCGATTCCGGTCAAGGGCATGTACCTTGGTTGCAGGCACATCCCCAGTAGGAGGTGTACAGGTGTCAGCTGATCGATGTTTCTCTCTCATCAATGTTTCTAACTCTCTATCCTCTCCTTTCATCTCTGTAAAAAAACCAATAAAATATATATTTTTTTAAAAGGTAGAGCTAGGATGTGAACCAGGTCTGAGAGTCCTAACTGGGCCTCTATGTAGTGCTGCCTCTGCTTCCAGCCAGATGGTTAATGCTGAGCCTCACTTATAAACTGAGGGCTACCCTGCCGACCACAGCCTAACCACCAAGTGCAGTCTGCTGTTACTGCTAGGACATTTTGGAATCTCTTGAGGTTCCGTGTATATAGTTTTTGTGCAACTAATAGTTTTAGCCCTTCACCATAAACTCTTTCAGTCATTTTTAGTATTTATTTATTGGGTTTAGCACTGAATGCCTTTAGGGTATTTGTAGAAATCAAATTTACCCTCCAGAGATTATCTCCAGTGAAGGTACTCTTATACTCTAGGTTATTGAACGCAATGGCATGTTGGTAGACTAAAATACAGTTACATGCTTAAAGATACTGTTTTTAAAGGAGCAGCTTCTTCTTAGAGGTATAATTCCAGAGGTGGTCACGTCAGCAAATGCGGCACCCTGAAACGGGAGCCACACAATTCCTGTTCTTTCTGGGAAAGTTCATGTTTTACACACTGGCTGCATTGTTAGAAAATGTTTCTTTGCTGTCTCCACATCAGGGTTTTTAAAACCTAAGAAGGCCCGTGAAATCGAACTTGAAAATGGAAAGTACATTTTAGTTACACGTCAGGACTCAGTTCACCTCACTGGGCTGGGGGGGGCCTCTTACAGCCGGAGCTGGTGAGACCTGGGCCGCCAGCAGGCTCCCGGCAGGCTGAGCGGGCCAGACAGAAGGGGATCATGGCGACACCGGACCTCGAGCACCTGGAGCAAAGCAAGGCGGACCCCAGACAGGCTGTTAGAGCGCCCAGACCACCTCCCGGCGGCCCTCGGCCCGCCCGGCCCTCCCGCACAGGTGCCCACAGGAGCAGGGAGGTCCCCTCCCGAGGGGCAGGCCCCTGTGTTTCTAAGCCCCTCTGGGCTACGGCCGGAGCTCACGGTAACTTAAGTCTCCTTGGCCTTGAGGGTCTAGTTTAGTCTGAGCTCAGGTCAGGGGATTAATAGGGCCGAGTTAGACGTCTGAGGCGGGTCCTGACTGACAAGGGAGAAGGTCTTCTTTACTGGGAGAGCTCAGCTTCCGGAGCCCTCCCCCTGGGAGTCCCTGGGGACCTGAGCGCGTCCCCGAGGCCTGGAAGTGAGAGGGAAGGGGTGTGCTTCGAGCTCTTTGTTCCATCCTCCCTGTGCAGCGGGCGGCTCCCCTGGGCATCCGCTCCTGACCTCAGCGTCCTGTTCTCCCAGCTCCCAGCTCAGTCTCCCTGGGGGAAAGGCACCTGAAACCTGAGATGGGTGGGACTGGACACCGGGCTCCAGCTGAACCCAACCCCTCAGCTCTAGAGAACAGGCATTCCCAAGGGGGGCAGAAGACCACACGGGAAGCGTTTTCAGGAAGGAAGGTGATGCCTTTTGAGCTGGAGAGGGCCTGCTCGGTGTCCAGCACAGTGGGGGAGAGTAGAGCTGCACCGCAGGGCATCACAGAAATTTCAGAGCCCTGGGCAAAGGGAGATCCTACAGGCTTCAGGGGAGAAAATAAAAGTCACATTTAGAGGATCCAGAATGGAAAATAATTTCTGCCCAGCTGGTGTCAGCCAATGCTTCGGGAAGGGCATGTACCTGGGTTGCAGGTTAGATCCCTGTCCGCTGTCAGGGCATGTAGGAGGAAACCAATTGATGTGTCTCACATCGATGTTTATCTCCCCCCCCCCCCCCCCCGAATCTACCAAAAGAAATTGCTGAAAAAGTTGGCTGGGATTGCTTTAGGGAACTGGATGGAGGGGATGGTAAGCAGGATATGGCTACTGGCTGTCACCTGAGATTTCTCATTCTATCTACACTAATAAAAGAGAAATATCCAAATTGACCATGCCTCTTTGGTGTCCACAGCCAATCAGGAGTGGGTATGCAAATTAACCCAACAAAGATGGCGGGTTAATTTGCACATGCAGGTATGGAGCAAAGACTGAAGATGACTGAAGGCTGAAGAGGCTTGTCTTCTCTGCTGTGGCTGGAGCAAAGGCCTGAGTCCCGGGTGCCAAAGGAAAACTGGTGCCAGCAACCAGGGGAAGGAAGGCCTATTGCATGGATCTTCTTGCAACAGGCCTCTAGTTAATTTAGTAAAAGTTTCTTAATAAGATTTTCAGATCACATGTCTCCCATTACTTCATAGGTTTATGGAAATATCAAATGGAATAATTTGAATGAAAAAAGAAGTTTGTAGAGTATAAACTGTTATTCAGCAGAAAGTGATATGATCATGTTGACTTAGAGACAGAACAATGGTTTGAAGGGCAGGTTGCTCGTGAGCCTGGGTCAGCTGTGGGTTTGCTGTCCCGGGCCAGGCTCAGCCAATCTCACCTGGGCTGGCTCTCATATCTGCACTGGTTGTGGTTTGGCTCGTTAACACCAGGGTGGGATGTTGGCCTCGGCCACATAACTTCCACATACCCCATCCCATGTGCCGTCTGTCAGCGGGAGTACAGCACTCTCACGTGCTGGGTTACCCTCCCCCAATAGGCCTGGGCCCGTCTCGGGGCAGAGGCAAGAATTCGAAAGAAAGTGAGAGTGTGCAGAGCCCCACCTGGCATACTGTCACATCTGCCACATCCTTTTGGCCAAAGCAAGTGACAGAACGTGGGAAGGAGATCCTTTGTGGTAGGAGCTGTAAGTTCACGCTGAGAGGAAGGATGGAGAAATGGGGCCACCGTTTACAATCATGGAGCAGTCACTGAAGCCAAGTATTCTGACCCATCTATTGTATTTGAAATGAGAGCACAGAGGGTGTCAGAGGCCTGTGACTGGTGTTCCTTTTCCTTTGTAGACAGATAACCCGGGAGGTGCCAGAGTGTGCCACTTAGATCAACACCTTCAGCGTCCCAGCATGGAAAATCCCCAGAAGACAGAGGTGGTTCTCCTCGCCTGTGGCTCCTTTAACCCGATCACCAACATGCACCTCCGGCTGTTTGAGCTGGCCAAGGACCACATGAACGCAACAGGTAGGAACAGTCACAAAAGCAGCGGTGGCGTTCAGAGCACTATCCCCAAATATGGCCCCGGGGCATATTGGATATTTTGAGCCGAAGGAGTTTGAGCAACCTGCAGAATCAGGGCAGTCACTCGGACCTCCCCGCCCCTTCTCCTCGGAAGCAGGTCACAAAACCCTATAGGAGAGGCGCCCTCTCGTACACCCTCGTAGAAGGCACATGCTTACCTCCGCAAACAAAGGGGTGCCAGGAAGAACCCGAGTAGAGGAGCCTGCCTTAGTTTCTCCGCTTGCTACACTTACCTCCTGCTCTTTGCCCCTTCCTGTTTCTCCACGGCTGTCTACTCTGCAAACCTAGCATTGAACACGCAGGTTCACCTGCTTCCTGGGGTCTTCACGTCCTTATGAAGGCTCCCGTGTCCTGTAAAGCTGACATTAAACAAATGCGTGTGCTCTCCTCCTGTTCATTTCTCTTTCTCAGTTTAATTTTCAGACCCAGCCAGGGAGGGTCTTCTTCCTTCCCTCCATAGGCGAGATTTATCTTGTTACACAAATGCTCACGTTCTATGCTGATAGATGGGTGGGTGCTCAGACTCATAAACAAGAAACTAAAATTAAAAATGAGGTATAATTTTCCCATCACATGGACAAACATTTTTAAACTCCTTAGTGCCAACAATCAGAGGTAGAGGAGATGGGGCTCTTTATACTGTAGGTGGACAGTACAACTTGATTAAGGCATTTTACAAAGCAGTTCTATGTGCTGTCAATGTTACCACAGTTACGAATGAATGAACATTACAAGTTGTTATATGTAAAAAAATAAGAAAGGGGATATTTGGTTAAAATCATATCGTGATACTATTTCCTGTGCATAAAGTTTAATTTGTTCTGCCTCATGTCGATCCGAACTCTCTACCAGGAAAATACAGAGTTATCAAAGGCATCATTTCTCCCGTCGGCGACGCCTACAAGAAGAAAGGGCTCATCTCTGCGCACCACCGAGTGGTCATGGCACAGCTGGCCACCAAGAACTCCGGCTGGGTGGAGGTGGACACCTGGGAGAGCCTGCAGAAGGAGTGGGTAGAGACTGCGAAGGTGCTCAGGTATCTGTGGGAGGTCAGCCGTGGGGGCTCCCGGGAGTGGGTCAGCGCCTTCCTTGGCGTTGGGCCACGTGTTCGTGGTGCCAGTGTCTGAGCTACGGGTTTCCAGCACGGTCCCCAGGGCTGGAAGGGCGGAGGCTGTGCGGTTCCCGTGCGAGGTCGTTGCACAGCCGTGGAGCACAGAAGCAGGCAGCGTGTTCCCGAACATGTGTCTTGCATTGTGTGCTGACGTGTTTGCTGGTTACTATGCGAGGCTGTTAGCGAACGTGCAGGGAAGCCTGCTGGCCTGGCCGTGCCAAGCGAGAAAGGCGGCGTTGTAAGGTGATGTCATTGCCATGAGCCTCCCGAGAGGCAGGTATTCAGGACGGGAAGCCATGATGCTGGGTCACGGACAGACCTGTCTGTGTGCTGCTTCCATGACAACATACAGGCTTGTCACACACCTGTCTTACGCCTTTCAGACAGTTCCAGGTGAGGGATCAGAAACCAGAGTTACATCTAGTTATTACTTAATGCTATCTTGAATATAAAATAGAAGGGCTTTCTGAAAAACCTTTCTGCTCAACGTCCATCCTTAAAGTTCTGAACCTTCCAAGTCAGGTAGGATTCAAACAGGAACTAGAAATCACATTGAATATTTTAAGCAGAAAGGGGCCTAGATCAGTGGTCGGCAAACTCATTAGTCCACAGAGCCAAATATCAACAGTACAACGATTGATATTTCTTTTGAGAGCCAAATTTTTTAAACTTAAACTTCTTCAAAATAGACTCGCCCAGGCCGTGGTATTTTGTGGAAGAGCCACACTCAAGGGGTCAAAGAGCCGCATGTGGCTCGAGAGCCGCGGTTTGCCCACCATGGGCCTAGGTGATTGGGCAAAAGTGTTGAAAGGGCTGGAGGAGTGGGAGTCGGGCTTGTTCAAGGTCACACCTCCTTAGCCACAGCCAGAGTTCAGGAAACTAACTTCCTGCCTTTGCTACCACCACCTTCTGTTCAACCACCCCGTCCCCTGAGGTGGTGACCGGACCACGGATTACAGTCTGGCCGCCTCGCTCATGCTGTCACATGACTCATCCGGCTTCACAGCTGCAGAAAGATGGCCTCTCTCCCTTCTTCCTTCCAATCACGAGTGAACCTCATTGGCAGGATATCCCTCACGCCCAGAACCTGCTGCCAGGCCCCGGGCACTGCATTCTGGGTAGAGTTGGCCAGGACCCGGGCACTGTGTTCTGGGTAAAGTTGGACACTGAGCTGCAGGCGACACCTTGTCAGACACCAGGCTCTGCATCCCCGCCTTTCCCACCCCCTCTGGCTTCCTAGCAGCCTGCTGTCTATTATATTGTCCTTTAGCTCAGGAATTCAGGAGGGAAGGGGTAGGGGACACAAGGACCCAGGGTTTGCTCCATGAATGTGGCTCATGTTAATTGAGTAACTGTACAGTTGTAAGTCCTGCGGAGAAGAAGCCAGACACAGGTGCTGCCTGTAGGCCTTCCTTTCGGCCTTGGGCACTTGTCCCCTCCAGGACCTTAGCCGTGGCATTGAGGTTCTCCATTACTAGGTCAAGCCACACTCTTCAGAAGTCAAGAGTGTGGGCTCTGGGACCAGACTGCCAAGATTTCAAATCCTGGCTCCGCTGCTTACAAGCTAAATGAGCCTGGGCCAATTAGCCAGTGTCCTCTCAGTGGGGATAACAGGCAACTCTGATGTAATGGTGGCAGCCATGCAGGCTTTATAATAGCCAAGACATTCACTCAATCAGGTTGTCATTAAAAGTCTCCTATGTCCCAGGGACTCTGCTAGGCGCTGGAGTTGGGACTTGAGCTTTCCCCCTCCATAGTGGGGATGAAATAGAATAGAGTCCTGGCCGGGTTGGCTTAGTAGATAGAGTGGCGGCCTGCGGACTGAAGGGTCCCAGGTTCCATTCCAGCCAAGGACACACGTCCAGGTTGTGGGCTCAACCCCCACCAGTAGGGGGCGTGCAGGAGGCAGCCAGTCAATGATTCTCTCTTATCATTGATGTTTTTACCTATCCCTTTCCCTTCTTCTCTGAAATAAATAAAAATATTTTGAAAATAATAATAATGGAATTTTTGTAAAATAGAATTGATAGAATAATTATTATTTAAAAACATTTTATTGATTTGAGCGCGAGAGAGAAACATTGATGTTAGAGTGAAATAGGGATCAAACCCACAACCGGGGTATGTGCCCTAACAAGGAATCGAACCTGCCACCTTTTGGTGTATGGGATGACGCTCTCACCAACTGAGCCACACCATCCCGAGCTAAGACAATAATTATGATTTATTATTATTTATGGCATGGGGTGTTGAGAACAGTTAATCAGATAATCCAAGCAAAGGGTTTAGTTGTGCTTTGCACATAGTCAATGACGTGCACTCGTGTTGTTATGACCCAGACACACAAAGCTGAGGATAGAACAGCTGCCATGTTGTGCTCCCAGCATCTTCCTTGCTTTCCGTTCCCGATGGCCGGGACCGGGGACTCCAGTGTCCTGGCCAGCCTCCATTCTGACTGACAGGGCACCGGGTGTACCGGCGGCTGAATGTTTTTACCATCACCTCCTTCAGCGCTGGACCCGAGGCCCGTGGGCATCTGGCTGCCCGCCGAGCAGAGGGACCATGTGTGGTTGAGCTCTGGGAGGAAGAGGGCTGTGCTGTCATTTTGTTGTTTCACAGACACCACCAGGAGAAGCTGGAGGCCAGTGGCGGCGAGCAGCGGGACTCCCCTGTGCTGGAGAGGCCTGGCCGGAAGAGGAAGTGGACGGAACAAAGATCAGAAGTTAGTCAGAAGAAGCCGCTAGAGCCGCAGAGAAAAGGTCTGCATGTTTTCCCAGGACGTTCCGACTGGAGCCGATAAGCTTCTAGAGCTGAGCAGGCCCCTTTCTATTACCATTTTCTTTTTTAAATACTATATTTTTATTGATTTCACAGAGGAAGGGGAGGGAGATAGAAACATCAGTGATGAGAGAGAATCATTGATTGGCTGCCTCCTGCACGCCCCTCACTGGGGATCGAGCCCACAACCGGGGCATGCGCCCTTGACCAGAATCTAACTGTGACCTCCTGGTTCATAGGTTCAGCCACTGAGCCACACCAGCCAGACCTAGTTCCATTTTCTATTCAGGACGCGGGACGCCTGGAAAACGCCCTTGTACGTTTGCTGACGGAGGGAAGGGGGGTGCGAGGCGTCCTGAGCTCCCTCCCCCGCAGAGTCCTGAGCTTCTCAGCTGTCCTCCGTCTCTTGAGAATCTGAATCGGAAAAAGTGGAACCTTCTTTCCAGAAAAACACACCCATTCCTTTTGGCGGAGGGAGTTATTACAAAGCAAACCCTGACGCCGTGTTTTCTTCTTCGTCCCAGACGTGCCCAGGGTCAAGCTGCTGTGCGGGGCGGATCTGCTGGAGTCCTTCGGGGTCCCCGACCTGTGGAAGCGCGAGGACATCGCCAACATCGTGGGGAGCTACGGACTCGTGTGCATCACCCGGGCTGGGAACGACGCTCAGAGGTTCATCTACGAGTCGGACGTGCTGTGGCGACACCAGGCCAACATCCACCTGGTCAACGAGTGGATCACCAACGACATCTCGTCCACCAAGATCCGGCGAGCCCTCCGCAGGAGCCAGAGCATCCGCTACTTGGTGCCGGATCTCGTCCAAGAGTACATCGAGAAGCACGATTTGTACAGCGCCGAGAGCGAGGAGAGGAACGTGGGGGTCATCCTGGCGCCGCTGCAGAGAAACAGGGCCGCCACGAACTCCAGAACCACCACGGCCTGAAGCGTGCGCTTCCCCCGGGGGCTGAGCCGTCTGGGTGTCAGCAGCTGGGGGAGGAATTGGGATCCTGTTTCATAAACTGAAACTTGAAAGTTTGGTGAAAATCAGTAGTAAATTTAAATCAGGTTTACTTTTCCCCCTCTTTATCAGAAATTGCGAAGGTGATTGATTTCAATATTACCATCTTTTTGTTTTGAATGTACAAATCCTTTTATCTTTTTAAAAAAATATATTTTATTGATTTTTTACAGAGAGAAAGAGAGAGGGATAGAGTGTTAGAAACATCGATGAGAGAGAATCATTGATCAGCTGCCTCTTACACACCCCCTACTGGGGATGTGCCCGCAACCAAGGTACATGCCCTTGACCGAATCGAACCTGGGACCTTTCAGCCCGCAGGCCGATGCTCTATCCATTGAGCCAAACTGGTTTCGGCTCTTTTTATCTTTAAAAAAAAAAAAAGAAGTATATTTTATTGATTGTATACAGAGAGAAAGGGAGAGGGAGAGAGAGTTAGAAACATTTATGAGAAAGAAACATCGATCACACCCCCTACTGGGGATGTGCCTACAACCAAGGTACATGCCCTTGACCAGATTCGAACCTGGGACCCTTGAGTTCGAAGGCCGATGCTCTATCCACTGAGCCAAACTGGTTAGGGCAAATCCTTTTATCTTTAAAATAAGAGATTAGCAGCACCCAAACCAGAAGGCTGTTTAATCAAACTAACTATAAATCAGAAGTCAAAAGGGACACCTGGCTTTCTCCTTTCAGAGGAGCGAAGTCTGAAAGCCATGGTGCATGTGAAGGCCTCCCTGTAGTTATGAAGGGAACGGACATTTATGGATGCCTAATTCTGGGCCGAAGAAGTCCCTCTTCACACAGCCATCTCGCAAAAGGCAGCACAGAGCAGCCATCCCAGCTGTGCCAAGGCAGGCTGGGCATGTGCCTGGCAGGACCTTGGGCCCACAGAATGGCTGGTTAGTCCTCTCCAGGATACACCTGCCTGGAGCTCCGCCTTTGGGGGCAGGGAGTGGGGCCCAAGCCCTGGCGTGTTTGCAGAGGCAGACAGGTTTCTCCGATGCCCAGGAGGGAGCGAGCCTCTGGGTCAGTGTCTTACCGTTCTCCTAGCACAGGCCTAACCCTGGCCACCCGCCCTCATTCATCGTCAGGAGCCACTTTGGAGATGACATCACGCTAATGCAGTGTCTTATTCCAGAATGTGGTAAAGTGTCAGTACTCTCAGCTTTTATTGATAGCTTAATAATCAACACACTGGGTGGCCAGAGTCCCAGCTCAGGGTTGGGGCGCTGGTGAGGGCTGTGGAAGCTGTCAGCCCCGCCTGACGCTGAGGGTCTGAACAGCCTGCTGTTTCGTGCCGGCCACTGTGAATCTGCCTTTTGTGAACTTGTACCCTTTTCTCCTCTTGTCCCGTTGTGTGGACTTTGATCAAAATAGAACTCCCGAGTAATAAAGTCATAGCTGTATGTTAAAAATACAAGCTTGCTGTATGATCTGGTACTGATTAAAAATGTAGTGGACATTTTACCAATTGGTACAGCAAAAAGGCCAGAAATCGTTTTTTTATAGATTAGTGTTGTGGTTTGTGGAAATCATTCAGTGATAGAAACAGGACTAAAGTTACATTTCCAATGAAAATAGAATACCAGTAATCTACCTCTTGCAATTTATATTTCATACCTAGATGAAGGATTTATGACTGCAGAACAAAAGGTACTTGTAACTGTGACATTGCATCATCAAATCTGTATTCACAAAGGAAAAGGTTAAATAAAGCCAGCGAATAACTGTACATCCTACAGCTCCGGACATCATTACTGACGCCAACAGGTCAACTTCTTGAAGACGGGAAAACTTGGCACCCAGTAATTTTTCCTCTATTTGCTGAATGAATGAAAAGTTAGAATCTCAGGTCATAGAAATTGGGTCATTATTCTCCCTCCTTAGCTTTGTGGAACCTAAGAGTTGGAGCAGAACTGAAAAATAATGATCTAGAAGTAGCTTAAGCTGTCAAAATTTAGCTTTGACATCTCCTGAAAAACTACAGTTAGTTCATCTGAAATATTGTGGGAGCTGCAGAAAAGTTCCGATGCTAGAAATTTCTCTTATCGTCTGTTGCCTCTCTACCTAGAAGTGCGCATACCCTACTCAGCTATGTGTATGTGGGTATTTTTAAATTTATTTCAGAGAGGAAGGGAGAAGGTGAGAGAGAAACATCAATGATAAGAGAGAATCTTTGATTGGCTGCCTCCTGCACGCCCCACACTGGGAATTGAGCCCGCAATGCGGGCATGTGCTCAGAACCGAACCAGAATCAGCTTGTCTTGTGCCCTCCGACAGGAAAAGGCAAATAAGGGGGTAGGAGCACCCTGATTTTACTGTCTCTGTCAGGATGTTTTCCACCCGGAGCAGCAGGAAGCTCACTCCCAGTGACTGAAACAATAGGACCTTTACCAGGGTGGAGGCGGAGGGCAGGCAAGACTCAGGTTCTCGGGTTCAGTGAATCTTCTGTCAGCAAGGACCCGGCTCTCGTTGTCCCTCTGCTCTGCTGGTCACGTGTCCTAAAGCAGGCGCCCCTTAGTCAGAGGCTGGTCACCAGTAGCAAGTCTTCCTTGTTCGTGTTCAGAAGTGGAGAAAGGCTGGCTCTTCACAGCTGTTAAAATCAAGCCTTGCCCGGCTGGTGTGGCTCAGTGGTTGAGGGTCAACCTGTGAACCAGGAGGTCACGGTTCCATTCCAGTCAGGGCACATGCCTGGGTTTCAGGCTCGATCCCCAGTAGGGGACGTGAAGGAGGCAGCCAGTCAGTGATTCTCATCATTGATGTCTTTCCTTCTCTTTTCCTCTCTGAAATCAACTATTTATATATTTAAAAGGTTTAAAAACAAGCCTCAGCAGCCCCATCAAACTTCTAATATCTCGTTGGCTGATTCAGAGTCATTTAGTACTAGTAAACCTGCTTATCCCTAAAATCAACCACTGGCAAAGGAGGTAAGATTTCTGTGACTGGCTGAGCCTTAAACCAGTCCAGGAATTACCCCCCAGAAGAGGGCCACGCCCCCTGCCGGCAGGGCTTCCCTGCCCCGGGGAGGGGAGGCGTGGACGGTGGGAGGCTCACCTCAGTGTCCACGCCGTTCTCTGCTGGGCCCGGGTCAGGCTCCATCAAGTGACAGAGACCGGTTCTCCTCCAAGCGCTCTCATCAGCTCCCATCCATTACCGACCAGGAGGAACAGCGTTTGTACCCGAGTTTAGGACCTGGTCTTGGCTATAATTTTATGGTTTACTTTGCCAGCATCAAATGGAAGGGAAGAAAAAGGCTCAAATTTAGTCACATTTTCTCTCCTCTTTCCTTCCAGAGGTAATTTTATCCTTGTCTAGAAGAAAGGTTTTAGAATTATAAATGAGAAAAATTGCCTGGCCCATGTGGCTTAGAGGTTGGGCGTCGACCTATGAACCAGGAGGTCACAGTTCGATTCCCAGTCCAGGTACATGCCTGGGTTGCGGGCTCGAACCCCAGTGTGGGGCATGTAGGAGGCAGCCGATCCATGATTCTCTCGCACCATTGATGTTTCTATCTATCCCTCTCCCTTCTTCTCTAAAATCAATTTTAAAAATAAATAAAAAGGAGAAAATCACTTATCCCCTGGGCAAGTCCAATTTATGCCACTTCAACCAAAATTCAACCCTGTCCCTACTAGATGGCCCTTGCCCAGGCTGGCCAAAAGCCATACCTACCAGCACAGATGCTAAAGTCATTATTACTTATTTCTGTAACCTTCCTTTTCAGGCCAAGATTTAGAACAATAAGATTTTAAGGATAGGAAGTAAGTATGGTTTTTCCAATTCCTGTCCATCTGGAATATAAGCAGGCTTCATGCTCCAGAAATCTTGTCAGAGTTCATAGTTCTGTGCCCATTAAATGGCAAGGTACAGGTAATTCCAGGGTTTGAAAACAGCCTGTCATATTCCACCAAAGAAGCTATAGTTACGAGAATTAACAGCCTCATTCTGGGAGAGGCAAGGCAATGCCACTGTTTTCTTCTTTAGAAAAGGTGGTAGCCATTCATTCAACAAACACTACTTGCTAAGTAAGCACTGTGCTGGTGAGTGAGCTGAGCATGGTCTCTGCCCTTGAAATTATTTATTATTATTATTTTAAATATATTTTATTGATTTTTTTACAGAGAGGAAGGGAGCGGGATAGAGAGGTTGAAACATCAATGACAGAGAAACATCGATCAGCTGCCTCCTGCACACCCCCTCCTGGGGATGTGCCCGCAACCAAGGTTCGTGCCCTTGACCGGAATTGAACCTAGGACCCTTCAGTCCGCAGGCTGACGCTCTATCCACTGAGCCAAACCAGTTTAGGCTGCCCTTGAAATTATAATGAAAAAGGTCATCAATGGGCCTGCCTGGGTAACTCCATTGGTTAAAGAATCGTCCGGATGCACCAAGGCTGAAGGTTCCATCCCCTGTCAGGGCACATACAAGAATCCAGCAATGAATGCCTACTAAATACGTAGAACAGCAAATCAATGTTTCTCTCTCCCTCTCTCCCCTCATTTCTCTCTAAAATGTTTCAATAGATTTAAAAAATAAAAAGCAGTCAACAAACAAACCAAAAAGAGAGAACTGTGGATTGTGCTGACTAGAAGGTAGTAAGCAGAGCCGCGAGGCAGACTCAATGTACATGAGAAGTGATATCAAAGGCTGTTCTGGAAAGGTGACGCTTAGAGGTTTTTGAAGAGATCCAAGGCTTTCTCTGTCCAAGTTCTAACCCAACTGGGAAATAAGATGAACAGAAAGCAAGACATGGAGCATCTAAAGGCACTTTAATTACTGACTAAGTCTAGGTTAGAAGCCATAACTTAGGGTGAGGGTCAGAAGGGGGATGGATTCCCATGACAGATTATTTTTATGTTTTTAGTTTAGGTTTTTTTTATTGTCCAAAGTTTTTATTTTTTTTATTGTTTAAAGTATTACATATATTAGAATGTATATCTCCTTTTCCCCCCACTGACCTTCCCCCAGCCTCCCCTACCCCTGTCGCATGCCCTCATCCCCCCCCCCCCCAGTGTCTTGTGCCCATTGGTGGACTTATATGCACACATACACGTCCTTTGGTTGATCCATCTCCTTCCCTCCCCAGCACTCCCCAGCCTTCCCGCTGCAATGTGACAGTCTGTTCTGGGCGGGACAGATTATTTTGAAGGAGGCCATTCTAAGATCTCCCATTGCACATGCTCTGACAGCGTGACGCTGGGAGGTGCGGTCCGTGGTCCCTCCCTGTGGGCCCAGGTGGGTGGAAGACGGGTGGGAGTGATGGTGCATGACTTCTGAGACCAGCTCAGAGGAGATGGGCAGCGTCTTCCCGGCCCTCCCGGGACACACCCTCTGAGAACCCAGCCAGACAGCCAGACAGCCAGGCCTGCTGTGAAGGCGCCCACACTTCCAAGCACCCATGGTGAGGCCCAGTGCGGAGGAACCTGCCCCCAGCCCACAGGCCTGGCTGAGCTCCCAGCCGAGAGATAGGCAACACCAATTCACCAGCCAGGAGACTGAGCCATTTGGGAAGTGACTTTTCCAAACCGGAGTCACGGGACCCGGCTGATGCCTCAGGGAGCTGAGAGGAGCCGCCCTCTGCGAGGTCCCCCAAACGGCAGGTCTGCGAGCAAACGAGTAGCTTTTTGTTGTTTTCAGTCATCACCTTCTGGAGGCAGATAATAACTGACACCCTCATTCCCCGGGCAGACTTGGGAGCAGTCTGCCGGAGGGCACGTTTGGGTCTTCTGGTCCCTGTTATAAGGAGAGAAGGGAAAATGAAATACCCTGTGCTTAGAAGTTGTGATCGATCCACTGCCGAGTTGCTAAAAATTGGGTCAATGGCAAGGCACTCCCTCAGGTTTTCCTGAATTTTTCCCCCGTTTCAGCCACGAAAGACCCACATCCGGGGCCCTGGCTCCTCCAGTCTGGAGGGAACCAGCGTGGTGGTCGCTGGTTCCCTCCAGACTCAGTGCCCTTTATCAGGTGACACCTCCCGCCTCCATGAGGAGGGAGTGTGGGTTGGAGAGAGGCGGGTATTCAGGGACCGTTCCTCTCTGCCCAGAGCATGATGAGCAAAGACTGGCACTAATATTAGGTCTAGTAATAATTAATGTCGTTTTCTAATACTTTTTAAAATCGAATTTATTTAAACAATACAACAAAATTTAATCAACAATATAGTTGCCGTTGTTTTCTACTACTTGTGCCCAACGCTCAGGAAGCATTTTAATCCCTCGGTTGTAAAATTCTTGTGATTTTGATGCAAAAAATTCGGTCAATGCATTTTTGAGGCATTCTTCATTATTAAATTTTTTTCCAAGAAGAAAGTTTTGCAAAGAACGAAACAAATGGTAATCGGAAGGGGCAATATCAGGAGAATATGCAGGTTGAGGGAGAACTTCCCATTCCAACTGGCGCAGTTTTTCAGCAGTGATTCTTGCAGTATGCGGTCGTGCGTTATCGTGGTGAAGAATTTCGCCCTTCCGATTAATCAGTGCGGGTTCTTTTTCTCTTAAAGCTTGGGCTAACCTTTCCAATTGGGCACTATACACTGCACTTGTAATGGTTTGGTTAGATGGTAAAAGTTCATAATGAAGAATTCCTTTAAAATTCCACCAAACACACAACATCACTTTTTTCACATGCAAGTCAGGTTTTGGCGTGGGCTGCGGAGCCTCATTTTTGTCCAACCATTGAAGCCGCCTTTTCAAAGTAACATATAGCACCCATTCTTCACCTCCGGTAACAATTTGTTCTAAAAACAGCAAACGGTTTTGACGAGAGAGGAGCGAACTGCAAATTGTGACTCTGATTACGGTTGTTGTCGGTCAACTCATGAGGAACCCATTTTCCAAACTTTTGGACTTTGCCAAGTGCACGCAATTGATTGGAAATTGTTTTTTGTGAACAATTTAAAGTTGTTGCAAGCTCTTGTTGGGTAATTTGAGGACTTTGCACCAAAAGAGCTTGAAGAGCTTCTTGATCAAAATTGGACACACGGCCTCGACCACTCTTGTCATCTAACAAAAAATTTCCCTCGCGAAATTTCTCAAACCAACGCTGGCATTTTCTGGCGCTAACTGCATCTTGACCAAGAGCACTACAGATGTTTTTTGCAGCCTCACTTGCTTTTCTTCCTAATTGGAACTTGTAAAGCATGCAGTGCCGAATATGCTCTTCATCCGCCATCTTCTTAGCCCTAGTTTTGCAACAAAAACCAAACCAAACACAAACTTTTTCAAGCAAAACTTGTTAATTGCACTTCACACGTTCTGTAGATACCACGTGTTTGAAGGTTATGTCAATACAAGTCAACGCCAAGCAAGATTTTAAACGAATGTTTTAAAACGACATTAATTATTACTAGACTGAATAGTAACTTTTGAACCAGAAGCCACGGAGCCAGCCATGCAGAACCCAGGGAAAACAGCCCAGGAAGCGGGAGCATCCAGTACAGACCCCAGGAAGGCGAGGGTGACCTCTGCCAGCACTGCGGCCTCAGCACACCTGGGGGACCAGAGGTCCTGAGCAGAATGGAATGGGGGGAGGCGTGCCCAGGAGCCCCCTCAGGAAGGGCTGTTGGACCTCCGCAGAGGCGCCCATTTCCATTTAGGACAATGGGGATGGCCCTGAAGGGCTGTAGGCAGCGGTGCAATAAGATCTGAGATGCAGCCAAAACCGGTTTGGCTCAGTGGTAGAGCATCGGCCTGCGGACTGAAAGGTCCCAGGTTCAATTCCGGTCAAGGGCATGTACCTTGGTTGCTGGCACATCCCCAGTAGGAGGTGTGCAGGAGGCAGCTGGTTGATGTTCTCTCTCATGGATGTTTCTAGCTCTATCTCTCTCTCCCTTCCTCTCTGTAAAAAATCAATAAAAAGAAATTATATATATATATAGATAGATAGATAGATAGATAGATATAGATATAGATATAGATATAGATATATAGATATAATCTTAGTTGCATTTCTCACAAGCGTGCCTGGCTGCAGTCTGGAGAGCGGGTTGACGGGATCAGAGAGGAAAGAGCCAGGCCAGGAGGAGGGAAGGCCTGAGGGCGGCCCAGGTTGGGATGTGGAACCAGCAGATCCTGCTGATGGGCTGGGAACCGGGCGCAGAGAAGGGAGTCTGGGATGCACTGGACAGAGCAGGGCGCTGGAGCAGTGTCGTGTGCTCCCTGTCTCAGGTGTGTCAGGCCAGGCCTGAGGACAGCCGTGGAGACATCACCATCACCGAGGCGGCCAGAGAGCCGCCCGGGGCTGGGGAGTCAGGCCGCCGGGTTCGCCCTTGGCCAGGCTGCCTCCTCTGCCGTGTCCGATGGGGACAGTAAGTAACCGCCGGGGAGGGACCCTGTGACAGTGATAACACAGTGACCGCTCAGCGGTGTGGCCTGGGTGTGTGAGTGCAGAGCTCCCGGAGTCAGCGTGGACGTGACCTCTCGGCCTGGACAGCCGGGGCCCCGCGCACGTTTGGGGAGCGGAGGGGGGAGCCCGGGAACAGGGCAGAAGGCGGAGCGCGGCCCGGAGCCAGCGGAGGCGGGAGGGAGGGAGGGAGAGAGGGTGTCCGGGCGCCACGCCCTCTGCCCCCATCCATTCCCCGCCCCCCATCCTCCCGTCCCCCCATATCCCCGCCCCCGTCCCGCTCTTCGGCCGCCCGCCGCCCGCCGCCGTCGCAGTCCCGGCCCCGCCGCCCCCCGCCATGCCCGCCGACCTCAGCGGCACCTGGAACCTGAGCAGCAGCGACAACTTCGAGGGCTACATGCTGGCCCTGGGTAGGCGGGCGCGGGCGGGGGCGCGGGGGCGCGGGCGGGGGCGTCGTGGGGCTGTCGGTCCGCTCCGGGCGGCTGGCTCCCTGGCTCTCCGTCCTTCCGTCCCCCGTCTCTCCGGCCCCGGTCCACCCGCCGTCCTCTCACCCCGACCACCCCGCTCCCTCCCGCGTCCTCCGTCCTCCGTCCGTCGGTCCACCCCGTGGTAGTCCTGCCCCATCCTTCCATCTTCCCGGCCCCCTGTCTCCGCACCCGTCCGTCCGACCATCCGCCCGTCCGTCCCCCAGTCCTCGCTCCCAGGCCCCCCTTTCCTCCTCCCGTCCCCCCGCCGGCCCTGCGCGGGGCTCTCACCGGGCGGGGGCGGGGCGGGGGCACCTCGCAGGCAGACTGGGGACACCATGGGGCTCGGGCCGCGAGGGGCGCCCAATGGAAGCCCCTGCCCGGTGGCCCTCGCCCCGCAGCGGCCTTTAACGGGGGCTCTGGGCAGCTGGCGGCACCCTTAACCCGGGGCGCCCGGGGCCCGTCCCGCAGCGTCTCCAGGGGGGGGTCCCCGTCCCGCAGCGTCTCCAGGGGGTCCCATCCCGCAGAGTCTGGGTGGGGGTCCCCGTCCCGCAGCGTTTCCCGGGGGTCCCATCCCGCAGCGTCTGGGTGGGGGTCCCCGTCTGGCAGCGTTTCCCGGGGGTCCCATCCCGCAGCGTCTCCAGGGGGGGGTCCCCGTCCCGCAGCGTCTCCAGGGGTACCCGTCCTGCAGCGTCTCCAGGGGGTCCCATTCCGCAGAGTCTGGGTGGGGGTCCCCGTCCCGCAGAGTCTCCAGGGGGTCCCGTCCCGCAGCGTCTCCAGGGGGTCCCATCCCGCAGAGTCTGGGTGGGGGTCCCCATCCCGCAGCGTTTCCCGGGGCGCCCAGGGAGGCCGGTCCCGCACACCGGGGTCACCTGAGCTCACCCAGACTCAGTCCAGAGCTCCTGGCCGGCCCCGCCCCAGGAGGTTCCGGTGCCGCTAGATTCGGAACCGAGTTTGGCATCTTCGATTTCTGGGCTCTGCTCTTCCCTCCAGGACTGCGGGGGCCTTCGGTGGCTGCGGGGACTGCGGGTGTCAGGAACACAGGCCTCGAGGAGGGCGCCCCCCCCTTCCCCCCCCCCCCCCCCCCCCGTCTTTGGGATGAAATTCCTGCCCCGAGGAGGGTCCGGAGGGTCCGTCTGCGCTGCCTGGAGCTTGGCGAGCCTGGTCTGGGAGGCTTGGAAAAGGGACCACGGCAGGGGTGTGCTCTGTCTGAGCCCTGTCCTTGCCCCCCGCCCTGAGGGGAAGGCCTGCCTTCCTCACCCACCCGGTCTGTCCGGCCATCGGTCTCCTTCCTCAGGTTCCTGCATCTGAGCACCTACTGTGTGCCCCGTGCTTTTGACGAAATGGACCAAAGCTGCTGAGAATAGGGGGTTCCGGCTGCTCTGGCTCGCCTCCTTTTATCAGAGACCAGGCCTCAGTTTCCCCACCGGAAAAATGAGCTGGGAGTCCTTTTTTTTTTTATTGTGGCAAAATACCTATGTAACCACTTTGCAATGTACAGTTCTGTGCCCCGGTGCGTTTTAAGATTATCCTCCCTGTACTTTCTCACTTTAAGCAGGGGAGTTTGGGACTTTGCAAGGGAAATCTGATTTATATTGCCACAAATCCTCGTGCAGAAGAAAAAGATGTATTTTTCTCTGCCCACCTGGTGCATTGCAGGGCCTGTAAATTAGACTCAGAAAGGACAGACACACCCGGCCTGCAGTGGTGAGGATCTCAAAGCAGTGGTTAGAGCCTGAGATTACATAGCTTCTTTTTAAATAAAAAAAATATATATATTTTATTGATTTTTTACTGAGCAGAAGGGAGAGTGATAGAGAGATAGAAACATCAATGAGAGAGAAACATCGATCAGCTGCCTCCTGCACGCTCCCCACCGGGGATGTGCTTGCAACCAAGGTATGTGCCCTTGACCGGAATCAAACCTGGGACCCCTGAGTCTGAAGGCTGACACTCTATCCATTGAGCCAAACCGGTTTTGGCTGCATAGCTTCTTAACAACAAGTAATGCTTCCGCAGAGAAGAGACCAGACAAAAAGACTGAGTTTCCAGGGTGGCAAACAACAGGAAAGTAAATATATGGGACAATAAGGGCTAGTTAGTCATGTTTATTCTTCTGGTGCCAGGCTGATAAGTGGCTAGAGTCATGTCCCTAACGTCCGTCCGTCCGTCCGTCCTGGTGCAGATGGGAGGGGGCAGTGTGGGAGAGAGACCGCTCCATGACGTGACCAGCGAGTGTCCTGCAAGCTGGACCCCGCCAGAAAGAGGTGACTTTCTGCAAACCCCTTAGCGACTGTCTGATGGTCACTGATGTTCATTCGGAATGAACTGGCCCCTTCCATGGCCTCCTGCCAGTGCTGGTCCCTGGCACAGGTGGTTGTAACGTAATTTTCCGAACTCGGTAGCATTTACGTGCTATTACCTGGGACTGCCCCCCACTTTGCCCTGTAGAATTCTTTGGCACCTGCCAAGCAGTGAGGGGGTCCATTTCATCTTGTAATCATCCAGCACATGTCCCGGATGTTCCCCTAATGAACCCTGTGAATTACCAGCCTGCAGGGGCCAGCCTATTATTTATTTATTTTTATTTTATTTATTTATTTATTTTTGGTCTCTCCTCCCCTCTGCTTACAAAAGCAGATTTCCAATCTCAGGACCTTACCCTGGGTCTGTGTGTACAAACTGGGTCTCCGGATACTGGAATGATCAGAAATAGACTATAAAGCACTTATGCTGAGCTTAATTTTGGCAGGAAATCGGACTCTATAAAAAGTAACACCTGCGGGGTTGAAGAGGCAACAAATAGAAATTGTAGAATTAAAAAGTAACAGACAAGCTTGGAAGCTTAGCAAGTGTTCTTGGGATTCCTCTCTGCGTCCCTCGCTGATGAAGCGGAGGCTGCTCCTCTCTCTGCTATAAGGAGGGCACCTTATAACAGAGCGTTTATATCACTGAGGGTTTTATCACCCGCATCAGGGGAGGTCAGAGGGGCCTCCCCGCACCTGCCTTCCTCAGGCACCGGCTGAGCATACTCACTCTGCCAACGTGCCAGGTTTTGAGGTGGAGTGTCCTGAACCCCACCTGATACAGAGTTTCTGTTTGGGGTGATGAAAAATTCCTGAAAAGAAATAATGTTGCCGAAACCGGTTTGGCTCAGTGGATAGAGCGTTTGTCTGTGGACTGAAAGGTCCCAGGTTCGATTCCAGTAAAGGGCATATACCTTGGTTGCAGGCACATCCCCAGTAGGGGGTGTGCAGGAGGCAGCTGATCGATGTTTCTCTCTCATCGATGTTTCTAACTATCTCTCTCCCTTCCTCTCTGTAAAAAAAAAAATCTATAAAATACATTAAAAAAAAGAAATAACGCTGTTGGTTGCATAACATTATGATTATTCAATGCCACTGACTTGTATGCTTTTAAATGGGTAAAATTTGTGTATTTGACCACAATAAAAAAAAATACCAAAAATAAAAAAAGAATCACAAGGATACTGGGACAAGAAAACCTACAATAAATCCTATATTTCATTTTTTAAAAACGAAAGGTCCTTTTTTAAAAAAAGTATTGATTGATCCTAGAGAAAAGAAGGGTGAGAGAGAAAAGTCAATTGGCTGCCTCCTGCATGTGCGCTGACCGGGGATCGAACCCGCCACCTTTTGGCGCATGGGGTGGCGCTCCAATCAGCCAGAGCACGTGAGAGCGCCTTCTAAGTTCAGTTTTTTGAATTAAGTTCGTTTTGGGAGTTAGCATTCTCTCCTATCTGAGCCATGTCTCATGACTTTGCACAGTGAACTAAACATGTGTTTTTAAACACAGAAGCTTCTATTTCAAGTACATAAAGATGGCTCCTGTAATAAAAACCAGCAAGTCCTTATCTTGTTCATTGGATGGAAGACAATACAGCCAGGTGATCTGTCCCTTTTGGCCAGAAACAGAGCTTGAGGTCTTTGTCCCAGTTAAATATTTAAATGAACAAAGTGCTCACTGGATTAGTCGATGTCTTTTATTCAGAATCTTTGTAAAATTAGCACGTGGCATAGAGAGGGGTTTACGGCACAGAACTCAAATAATCGAAGGGCTTTTAGGTTCCGGAAGGTTGTTTTTGGTTTCCCTTTGATTAGAGCAGATCCTCTTAAAGGAAGACTTCGATTACTCTATTTCCCCTTCATTCTTGGTTATAGATTCCTGAAGAATAGGGAGCAAGCATTTACAATCTCTAGCCACACCATGTGCTCAAAGCTAATAAGTGAGAAACGGCATTCAAACCCACTTTCTATCCCAAAACCCTGACTTTCACAGTATTTCATGTTTTCATGTGTGACTCTTCTTCTTTTTTTTAAAATATATTTTATTGATTTTTCTTACAGAGAGGAGGAGAGAGGGATAGAGAGCTAGAAACGTCGATGAGAGAGAAGCATCGACCAGCTGCCTCTTGCACACCTCCTACCGGGGATGTGCCCGCAACCAATGTACATGCTCTTGACCGGAATTGAACCTGGGACCTTTCAGTCCGCAGACCGACGCTCTACCGCTGAGCCAAACCGGTTTCGGCCATGTGTGACCCTTTTTAAAGCTTATTCAAGACTCCTAAGTGAATAGAATTGTGCGTGATTGCAGTGGTTTTTGAAGTTTTGTGTGTATTGTTGTTGTTGTTTTAACATATTTTATTGATTGTTTTACAGAGCAGAAGAGAGAGGGATAGTTAGAAACATCAATGAGAAAGAAACATCGATCAGCTGCCTCCTGCACACCTCTGACTAGGGATGTGCCCGCAACCAAGGTACATGCCCTTGACCGGAATCGAACCTGGGACCCTTGTCTGCAGGCCAACGCTCTATCCACTGATCCAAACCGGCTAGGGCCTTTATTTATTTTTTATTTTTTTGTTTTTTGTAGTTGTTCAGAAACTGTTCAAGTTCTTAGTTTGAAGTGTAAATACACAAAGCAGGAAACGGCAGAGTTGCTGTAATGGAGGTTGGATGGCTTCCTTGTCCCTTTGTCCCCCTGACACAGGCGATAAAACCCGCAGATGAGGGGTGCCTGCCTTATGCAGACCTGCTTCTGCTGTGCCCCGCTTCCCATCTACCCCTGAGGCACCCCACCAGCCTAAGGCGCCTGCCCTGAAACCTGCTGAAGCTTTTCAGTCAGCCTCAGGATGGGGCTTTGCCAGGCTAGCTCTCCAAAAAGATCTCAGCAGCTGCTGGCATTGACATTGCAGAAGGAACGCTTGCCTTCCAATGCCAGGGTTTTGAGGACCGCCGCCAAGTTCTTTGCCATTGCATCTCCGGTGAAAGCTGCGATGTCTCTTTCACGTGATTTTTCAGGTATCGACTTTGCCACGCGGAAGATCGCCAAGCTGCTGAAGCCGCAGAAGGTGATCGAGCAGGATGGGGATTCGTTCACCATCCACACGTACAGCAGCCTGCGGAACTACCTCGTGCAGTTCAAAGTCGGGGAGGAATTTGACGAAGACACCAAAGGCCTGGACAACAGGAAGTGCAAGGTACGGTCATGGCCGTCACACAGGCGCTTCCTTCTGCCGGGGTAACTGGCCTCCCGCTGAGTCGCAGTCCAGATCCTTCCGGGACAAACCAGTGTTTTCTCCCCCCGCCACGCAGAGCTTGGTCACCTGGGACAATGACAGGCTCACCTGCGTCCAGAAGGGGGAAAAGAAGGACAGAGGCTGGACCCACTGGATCGAAGGCGACACGCTCCACCTGGTACTTGCTCATATCCCTCTTATTTTTTTTAAAATTATGTTATTGATTTTATTTTATTTTTAAAATATATTTTATTGATTTTTTTTTTTACAGAGAGGAAGGGAGAGGGATAGAGAGTTAGAAACATCAATCAGCTGCCTCCTGCACACCTCTTCCTGGGGATGTGCCCGCAACCAAGGTACATGCCCTTGACCGGAATCGAACCTGGGACCCCTCAGTCCGCAGGCTGAAGCTCTATCCACTGAGCCAAACCAGCCAGGGCTTGCCACATCACTCTTATTTTTAGTGACATGATGTAACGTTGAAGAAAATGTTAAACAGGGAAACCGTGGCCAGCAATCCTATCAACTCACTGTGTCCTCCCCATTTACAAATGAAGAGTTTGAGATTGAGAAGCCCCCCAACCCCACACTAGGCAGCTCGCAACCTGGGCCTGTGCCCTGACCAGGAATCGACCGTGACCTCCTGTTTCATAGGTCGATGCTCAACCACTGAGCTGCGCCGGCCGGCCGTTGTAGCAAATTATTGAACTTGGGGAGGGAGTCACGGGAACCCAGTTGTAACTGGTTGGCCAGAAGTACGGGGGCCCTGGGACTTGGAATTGCTTCCGGACGTGGGGGCAGCGAGCCCTGCACCCGGGGCTCTGCCCTAACACTGGGTTGTCAGTTGTCAGAACTGAGTTGGCATGAGAGTTGGAGAAGGGGGTTGGCAAAGACAGCGCACGTTTGGGATCGGATCCTTGTGAGTGATAACAGGCCCCGTGCCAAGTCATCTCCCTCCTCTTCCTTCCTCCCGACCCAGGAAATGTTCTGCGAGGGCCAAGTGTGCAAGCAGACATTCCAGAGAGCCTGATCGGGACCCGCCAACGGAGCCAGGAGCCACACCACGCGCACCACGTGGGGCCGCAGCTTAACGCCTGACTCCACTCCAGAAAGAACGGTGTTAACCTGCCCCCCTTTGGTAATGGGCCTCGTGGCCAGAGAGGGGGCACCAGCCTGTACCGGAGACCATGTGGATTGTGGGCAGACAGCTCAACTCCAATAAACCTGCCGGACGACTCTGGCCTCTTCCTTCTAAGTTTTAGCATGAAGCAGTCCGGGCTGTGATGACACGCCGATGGGTTAGCTGTAGTTCCTGCCTGGAGGTCTGGCGAGGACAGTGGGCGGACCCAGCCCTCTGAACAGGCAGCTGTGGGCACCAGAGCCCACGCCTGAGGATGGAGGCATTTGTCAGCCACCGGACAAAGGGCCCAAGTGCCTCGGGGCTGAGCCATACAGTCTGTCTGTGGAGATGGGCAACCATGTTTAGGAGCCAAGGAGGAAACTGAGTTGAGACAAAAATGGTTGAATAGCTCCACCAAGAAGTGTGGCCTGCCTTCCTTCCTTCCTCCCATCCCTTCCTTTCCTCCCTCCTTCCCTCCCTTCCTTCTGATATTCTTCCTCCTCCCCTCTTTCCTCCTCCCCTCTTTCCTCCTCCCTTTTCCTCTTTTAACTAGAAAATGTTCTTTTTAAAATTTCCCCACATCAGCAGCCCACAAGATCAAAGTGGGAAATTGTTTTAGTCTTACCTTCATTCTTTCACCCCCACAGATATGTTTCATCAGGCATTTTAAGAAAAGTTTTGTCCCTGGCCAGGTAGCTCAGTAGGTTAGTGTTGTCCCAATACGCCTAGGTGGAGGGTTCCACCCCCTGGCACATATAAGAATCAACCAAAGGCCCTAACCGGTTTGGCTCAGTGCATAGAGGGTCCCGGGTTGGATTCTGGTCAAGGGCACATACCTTGGTTTGGGGCACATCCCCAGTAGGGGGTGTGGGTGCAGGAGGCAGCTGATTGGTGTTTCTCTCTCATCGATATTTCTAACTCCCTCTTCGTTCCTCTCCGTAAAAAAAAAAAAAAAATTAAAAAAAAATATATAATCAACCAAAGGATGCATAAATAAGTGGAACAACAGATCGTTTTTCTCTCCCCTTTCTCTCTAAACCCAATAGAAAATTTTTAAAGAAAGAAAAACGTTCCGTATAGGAATTAACAGAATACTGAAGTAGGAATTAGTCAGAAAAACCAGCCTCCTGGGAAGGCTTCCTCTCCTCCAGGGAGGAGGCGCTCAGCTTCCTGTGGGGCTCACTGTGCCTGAGGAGCTTTTCCTGGCGATTGGGGGGGGGGGGCTGTGATGTGGGGGGCTGGGGGGTCCCCCCCGCACAGATTTTTCTGGAGCCTCTGGGATCACCTGCCCCGCGACCCTTCATGAAAGGGGCCGGTGGCAGCGTCTGCCCAGCGCGCCGGCCGGGGCGGGGCCTGCGGGCCGGGGCCTGCGGGGCGGGAGGGAACTGCGCCTGAGCTGTTTATTCCCGTTATTTCTGGGCCGTGTGGGGCCGCTGTGCAGCCACGAAACACACTGGATAGAATGCCATCGGCACACTGTGGGCTCTGCCCGCCGGGGAACTAGAGGAAGCTTCTGGAAGGACAGTGTTCCAGGCCGTGGCCTGGGTTGCAGAGACGGCACTGTCCCCGGGAGGGGCCACCCCGGAGCCTGCTGTTACGGGAGTTCAGGTTGGGCCTTGATGCTGCTGCTGCTGCTGCTGCTGCTGCTGCTGCTGCGCTGGGAGGACCAGCGCCCCCTTCTGGCCGGCCGCGTCCTCGGCTCCTGGGGAAGGAGGGAGGACACTCGCCCTGTTTTTAGGTTTTAGGGTTCATTTTTGTTAATTAACAAAGTTTTTTCAATCTCAGTTTACCTTCAATATTATTTTGTTTTGTTGGGTGTACAGCACAGTGGGTAGGCAATCGTATACTTTACAAAGTATTTCTCGAGGTGTTTTTTTTTTTTAAAGAATTGTTATAAAATGTGCACAACAAAAACTTATCATTTTCCTATTTTTAGAGGCCAGTTCGCTTGCATTAATGCATTCCCATTGCTGTCCAACCATCACTGCTGTCCGTCTGCAAAGCTTTCCCTCTTCCCAAACTGAAACCCTGTCCCCACTAACTAAACTCCCTCCTCCCTCCCGCCCCAGGCCTGGCAGCCAGCATTCCTCCTCCCGCCCGGAGGAATCTGACACCTGTACCAGGGCGTCACCTGGTGGCTGTGCTTTGTGTCTGGCTTCTCTGGCTGCCTGGCTTACATCTGCAAGACTCAGCCACGCGGCAGGGCCTTCCTGCAGGGACGGGGACATGCCATCTCGTTGCAGGGAGAGAACACTTCCCCAGGTCCGTTCATCCCTCGATGGACATTGGGCTGTTCCCGCCTTTTAGTGGTTCTGACTCCACACTGTCATGAAGGTGGGTGTGCAGATATCTGTTTGAGCTCCTGCTTTCAATTCTTTTGGGTACAGACCCAGAAGCAGGAACAGTGTGTATAGGAAGACGGAAAAAAGCTAGCTCACTAAAAGGGAAGTTGAAAAATAGGCAACAATAATAGTAAGCCACCAAAAATAATAAACCGCTTACATAAAGTTTATTATGAGTCAAACACTAAGCACTCTATAGATTAACTTGTTTAATTTTTTAAAATATGTTTTCTTGATTTTTTACAAAGAGGAAGGAAGAGGGATAGTTAGAAACACTGATGAGAGAGAAACATCCATCAGCTGCCTCCTGCACGCCTCCTACTGGGGATGTGCCCGCAACCAAGGATGTACCCTTGACCAGAATCGAACCTGGGACCTTACAGTCTGCAGGCTGATGCTCTACCCATTGAGCCAAACGGGTTAGGGATAACTTGTTTAATTTTTACAATTCATGAGATAATATTCTTATTCCCAATATATAGATGGGACAATTTAGATACAAATTGTTTTTAAATTTCGTTTTTAATTTTCAGTTATAGTTGACATTCAATATTTGTTTCAAGTGTACAGCATAATGGTTAGGCATTTATATAACTTGCAAAATGGCCCCCCCCTGATAAATATAGCACCTATCTGGCACCATATATAGTTATTAAAATATTATTGACTATTGTATATGCCCTATGCTGTTCTTTACATCCCCACTCCATGATGACCTTTCACTGCTAATTTGCACTTCCTTTTTTGTTGTTGTTGTTGTTAATCCTCGCCAGAGGGTATTTTCCATTGATTTTTAGGGAGAGGGGAAGAGAGGGAAAGACAGGGAGAAACATTGAAGTGAGAGAAACATGTCAATTGGTTGCCTCCAGCACAAGCCCTGACCAGGGCCTGGGCCAGGCCTGGGGTGGGAGGGGGAGCCTGCAACCAAGGTATGTGCCTTCGATTGGAATCAATTCCTGGGCCCTTTGGTCCGCCGGCTGACACTCTATCCACTGAGCCAAACCAGCCAGGGCACTAATTTTTGCTTCTTAATCCCTTCGCCTTTTTCACCCAGTTCCTCAATCCCCCTTCCATCTGACAACCATCAGTTTGTACTTTTATCTATATACAAGTCTATTTTTGTTTTATTTATTTTACTTTATTTTATTTTTAATATATTTTTATTTTATTTTTTTTATTCTATTGATTTTTCACAGAGAGGAAGAGAGAGGGATAGAGAGTTAGAAACATCGATGAGAGAGAATCATTGATCGGCTGCTTCTTGCATGCCCTTGACCGGAATCGAACCCGGGACCTTTCAGTCTGCAGGCCGACGCTCTATCCACTGAGCCAAACCGGTTTCTGCGGCAGCACCTTTTATGAAGGGCTTCCATGAGCAATGTTTTTTAGATTCTACATATAAGTGAGATCATATGGCGTTTGTCTTTCTCTTTCTGGCTTATTTCACTTAGCATAATACCCCTTAGAGAAGTGGTTCTCAACCTTCCTAATGCCGCAACTCTTTAGTACAGTTCCCCATGTTGTGGTGACCCCCAACGATAAATTATTTTTGTTGCTACTTCATAACTATAATTTTGCTACTGTTAATGAATCGTAATGTAAATGTCTGTGTTTTCCGATGGTCTTAGGCTCTACAGCAGCGGTTCTCAACCTGTGGGTCACGACAGTGACAGTCAGCAGATGCTGATGGCGACCCCCAGGTTGAGAACCGCTAGCAGGGTCACCTAAGACCATCAAAATTACAGTTATTAAGTAGCAATAAAAATAATTTTATGGTTGGAGGTCACCACAACATGAGGAGCTGTATTGAAGGGCTGTGGCATTAGGAAGGTTGAGAACCACTGGGATAGAGCATCCATGTTGTCAAAATTGGCAACATTCCATCCTTTTTATGGCTGAGTAATATTCCATTGTGCATATGCACTGATGTTCTTTATCCCCTTGTCTATCAAACGGCACTCAGCTCACTTCCATATGTGGCTATTGTCAGTGGTGCTGCAGTGAACACGGGATGCATGTGTATTTCGGAATGCGTGTTTTGGATGACTTCAGGTACACACCCAGACGTGGAATGGCTGGGTGATAAAGTAGCTCTATTTTGAACTGTCAGAGGAACCTCCATGCTGTTTTCCACGGTGGCCCCACCTATTGGCACTCTCACCATTCTGACACATGTGAGGTGGTATCTCATTGTGATTTTAATTTGCATTTTTTCCAATGATTAGTAGCCTTGGACATCTTTTCATACATGTCCTTCCATCCTTACAGTTGTCCGTATGAAAAAAGACACACGGGGTCTGATGATTACAGGAGCTTTATTAGCTCAAAAGCATGCCACGATGGCACAGGGCATGTAGGCCCATTCTGGTAGGCTCACGCTGCTGTCCTTCGTTACACATGAATAAACGATGGTACGAAAGGGGACAGCTGTAATACTTTCCACCACAAAGAGACATTTAAACATAAATAAATAAATAGATAATGACACAGAATAAACCCTGTGTTTTGTGTACTCACAACACAACTATAAACCTACGTTTGGCCACTCCAGTCATCTCTTTGGAGAACAGACATACACTGTCCTACATTGAGTAACCTGCCCCAGGTCACGGGGTAAGTAAAGGGACAGAACCCTTGTTCCTCCTGTATGTTTCTCCCTTTACTTCTGCTGTTTTGGCCACTGGAACACCAGGAGACTGTTCCCATGAAAAAAAACAACAACTTTAAATTCACGTCTTCATTCCTTGACCACGCACCGCATGCTTCCTGTGTGCCCGGATGGG